TGAGGCCCAAGGGGAAAGAGTTAGCCGTAGCCCAGGGAGAGATCCTGGACGTCCTGCAGTTCAGCAACGAAAAGATGGCTCTGTGCCAAAACCACATTGGCAAATGTACGTTAAAACCGCAACCGTTGGTCTGAAGCAGGGCTCCGAACCGGTTCAAGGAACGAAAACGAAAACCGAAAACGAACGGAATTTTACGAGGAACGGAAACGGAAACGAAAACCAAATGGTCTTCAACTGTTCCGGAACAGAAACGTTATTCTGAAATCCCCAAAACCGGTTAATAACGTTTTTTTTTCGTTCTCTATATAGCCTATAAAATTTCACAAAAGCATAGCCTATTTCATGAAAAAAAAAATTAATTCTGGTTGCCGCATTCACTTCGCCGCCCGCTAAGCTCAGCTGTCACAAATTCCCACCACCACCCTGGTTATATACCAATAACTAGGTCTATTGTAAGGTATCGACCACAAAAATAGACTAGGCCCATTAACACTGCCGGAACGTTAAGAACGAACGTTATTTTACGCTCCGAACCGGTTCAGGAACGATATGTTGGTGGCGGAACGCAAGAACGAAAACGTTAAATATACCGGTTCCGTTCGGAGCGGAACGATTGAAAAATGATTTCGTTTTCAAGCCCTGGTCTGAAGTGCCCAAAACATGCAGTATACTCATAGCTCATCAAGTAGAGATGCACAGATGCTGACACTGGTATTAAGTATCAATACTCAATACCAAATTGGGTATTGATATTGGAGACTTTTTGTGTGGTAAGCTACTTGTTCGCTATCGGTAATGAACTTGCTATTTGAGTGAAAGTTTGATTTTAATTTGTTCTTGATAGGGAAATTCTGCTTAACGCCACCAAAACTATATATTTTGCCCTCCGATATCAAACCTTGAGGCTAGCTTTCTTTCATTCATTAAATAAAATTAGGAGCACATTTGTTTCCTATTTTTTCTTAAACGGGAAATCTTATTCATATGTATACAATTGTGACTTTCATATTCAAATCCACTTATCATTAATGCAATTGTGTTATGGTTGTTTTCTTGCTCTTCACAGTTGGCTATGTGCCTCGAGCTTCTTCTTCTTCCAATGTAAGTGTTTCATTCATTCATTTAATTTGTTCATTCTTAGATCATCCTGAGTAGATAGTTCTGAGTTAGTTGTGACCGTGTTCAGTATTATCCTCGTTCTGGTTGTTTTTACTTTTTTTCAGTTTTGTCAGTTTACCATCTTCTTGCTGTTTGTTACAGGGAGGGGGATATTTATGATGACATCCACCACTCTAATGGTGAGTTTTATTTTATTTCTACACTGGAAGTGACTGGTATGCATGCCACTGAGGTTTTATCCAATGTGTTTTGTCCTCTATGCAGACAATAGTCAGATTAGAAAGAAATGTATATATTGTTTTATTAAATTATATTATTATAGAAATGTTTAAATTAGCTGTCTATTTCACTGAACACTGAATTGTTTGTTTTCTGTTGATAGATATTTATGATAATGACACTCTCCACTGAAGCCTGCGGTTAACATCCAGCAGTCCCCCTACTACACCTGTCTATCTGGGGTGTGGGGCCCCTGGGTTCTGGGGCCTCACAGCGGAACTCATACTAAACTGAGGGTCGTTCTTTGATTGGACCACACACAGAAACAGAGAAGACAACCCAGGCAGAGACAGGGTTGTCTAGACAGAGATAGACAGAGAGACAGGCACACACACACACACACACACACACACACACACACACACACACACACACACACACACACACACACACACACACACACACACACACACACACACCCTGTTTTAAAGTAAGCACTCACTTCACTCTCACACACATGATACACACAATCACACACACACTCGCACACACACACCCTCACACGTGTACAACAGTCAAACAAAAACAAAGACAAAAGACAAAATTGAGAATACCGATTGTACAGTTTTTGTATTAGTTATTTAGTTAAGACTTTATTGTCCCTGACGGGAAAGTCCTGCTTTTACAAACAAGTACACTATTTGCTTTGTTCATTGCGTGGTATCATGAAGATAACCTATATATGTTTCTTTTTTCTTAATAAATGCATTCTTGTAATAAGTTTTGCTTTCTTTATTTCGATTAAAAAAACAAATTCTTATCGAAGCAACAACATGGAGCTTTTAGAGACAACTAACAGTTGTGTGTTAAGGCAATTGAACAGATTTTTCACTTTTTCCAAATGTCTAGTTGAAGTGTAAAAAACGGTTTTATTAAATATCACACCCACTTGTAATATTGACTCGTAAATCACACTCACTTGGGACTTTAGCAGGAGTGCAACTGCACCTCCTATTGACCGACCCGAAGTCTTTGTAGACCCTGCTGTGCTGCTGGTCATCCCTATCATCCTGTTATGGATTTGGAAAGAAAGTAGCCATCTTACATGACAGATTTAATTTAAATGCTTTGGACTTTAAATTATTATAAAATAAGTAAAATAGTTCGAATGTTTCGGTGTCGTCTGCACGATGGAAATCATAGCGCGCGACGCACGATTATCGGTAATTTATGTCACGTGTTCCTCGGAGCTTTTGCGTCAACCGCAACGTTCACTTTTACGGTTTTGACGCTTTTTTCGGGCACAATTTAATCGCAGGTGTTGCGACAGGTTCGGTGTATCAGTGTGTGACTATTACTGTCTGGTCGGGTCCACACCAACTTCCTATTGCAAAACCCAGTTGGTGGCGGGCGACAAACACAACACACAGGCAGCAGAGCTGGACTGGTTTCTCCAATAAAGCAGCAGAGCTGGACTGGTTTCTCCAATAAAGCAGCAGAACTGGGCTGGTTTCTCTAAGTCCAGTCGTTTCCTAAACCGGGTCTGGTCTAGCTGTCAGAAATGCAAGAGTCTCTGGAGTCACTGGTCGGTTTACTTGAATCCTACAGAGGGAGAGATAAAGTGGTGAGTATTTTAACCGTTGCTGCACCTTTCTCGCTCATTTCCCGTTACGCAACATTGTTTCAATTGAAAGCATGTCATAACTGTATCAGAGATACGCACAACTCAACAGTTCAGCCTACATGCATATCCAATGTGGTCTCTATGCAACTCCATAAAAGGCAGCGCAGGTGCAACCATAAAACAGTGTGGTTTTTTTTACGTGTGCTTTTGTCGTTTTTGCCGATGCGGTCAGATCAGGACGGTGTGCTATGGGTCCCAGCTGGTCGGCGGGGTCTGGTCCGAGAAGACGTCGTCCTGGTCCTCGGACCTCGGCAGGAGGCTGCTGCTGTTCTCCGCTCAGCTCAGCCACTGCAGGACGGTGCTGCGGCTGTTTGACGACCTGTCCATGCTGCACTACTGCCGCAGCTATGGCCTCGGACCAGAGGTGAGCTGCACACACAGACTGACCCCTTTTTTCAGTTGTTCAGTTGGTTCAGTCACTTCTCCTATGTCCTCCAGAGCCATGTTGCTTTATCTTTTCCTTTCTTCTTTATGCAGGATAGTAGTGATAGTAGTAGGGGTGTTTGAATGCCCATCTACGGACCCCAAGTCCAGTAGGCCTACTTTCGCAAGATACCTAAACCCTTACTTGCTGCTGCTCATCAATCATTGACATGTATCTTTGGACGCTTTGGATGAAAGCCTCTGCTAAATGTAATGGTCAATAGTACAAAGCACTTCTCTTGTCATAATGTGTGTGTGTGTGTGTTATAACGAGAACTAGTGTGAACTAGAAGTACCTACAGCAATGTACCGAGGAGCACGGCACTGCTTGGCTTTGGAAAAAGCGTCTATTCATTCACTTTAAACAACAAGAAGTTGAAGCAAAAAGGAAAGCGGTTAAAAACTGACGAGATTTGTTGTTTCCTGTCATACAATTCTCAGGAGGCAGACGGCGGCTTGCGTTGGATCTCGGTTCTGAACAACGTGGCGGACCAGCTGTACTACCCCTGTGAACATGTAGCCTGGGCCGCGGACGCCAAGCTCATCAAAGCCCAGTCGGACCGCTGGTGGCTGCTCAGTACCGTCCTCTGGGGAACCTCCCTGCTCCTGGGAACACTCAGGTAAGACGAGGGATCGACCCGAGTCAAGTCAAGTCAATTGTGTTTGTATCGCCCTTATTCAGAGTTACAGTCTCAGGGTTTCAAGAGACTTAACGTAACCCGTCCAGAACCCCCAGCTAGAAATTCTATGGGTCTGAATGACCCTTCCTATTTGTAGGCTATAGTATAGCAGTTAGTAGGCCTGAAACACAACATTAAGCCCAAATTGACGGTTTACACAACAAGTGTTTACTTTATTGGTTATCTCAGGGCTAAGGTGTCCAAAACCATTTTTTCCCCCTTCCCTCCTTAGTGAAACGTGTTAACTATTTTCTCTTCCAAGGTCAATCAGACTTCTAGTGCTGCTGAAGAGGAAGCTGAAGAGGTGTGAGAGAGCTGGAGATGGCAGCGGGTATGACACAAGCTAGGCTTTTCCCAGTTGTTTTCTATTAATGTATCGACTCTCAGCCGAGTGGTGCTGGGTTCGATCCCCAATGTCCACAGTTTACCTGTAGGCATCCATGAGCTAGATGCCCTAAACCCTACCTGCTTAATGACATCTTGAATCTAATTTACTAAAATAGTAAATGATAGATTTAGTTTGAGAAGCACAATGCACTGGCAGAGTTTGTTGTTGTTATGAGTTGTTGTTATTGTGACAGCATAACAGAGACTTTGATGTGTGTACCTACCCAGAGCCATAAAGAGTAACTTTTTAAATGGCTCTGTACCTTGTATATATCTGACGTTTGATTGGTCATTGTCCCTCTTCAACTGAGCACATCTGAGCACAAACAGCTGTCGCGTGAACCAAACAAGTTTGTTTTTACCCACAGTTGGCTTGCAATGTAGACATTTTATCCAAAGGCACTTACAGTGAAAAAAAATGTTTTAGATGCATTTCATCAAGGGTAAGGGTTAGGTATTTTGCTCAGGGATGCGGCATGCAGGTGGACTGCAGACATTAGGGTTTGAACCCAGAATCTTTCGGCTGGGAGTCAAACACCCTAACGACTAGGCTATCCTACTAATTATTATGTTTTGTGTTTACAGTGAGAGCGCCTCCTCCAGTCGATCACAGCTCCTGAGGCAGATGAGAGGGGAGGTGCTCACTATTCTCAGCAGCGTGGCTGACCTCGGCAACGCCATTCATTGGATGCCACCCGGGTTTCTGTGGGCGGGGAAATTTCCCAATTGGTTGGTGGGGCTTATGGGCACCATCTCATCTCTGATTGGCTTGATCCAGATGAACGCCAGTAACGGTGGCCAATAAGAGAGTTTGCCTTGTTTTATATTCCTAGTGATGGTTCACCTGGACTTATTGGATCAGTATTGATGACAATATTAAGATTGAGGATTTTTAACTGATCTTTATCTTGAAGAGAGAGAGAGATGGTTAATTGTTTGATTATTATATAATAATTATTAATAATAATATGAGTTGACCTTTATCTGCACATGAATCATCTCATTGTACCAATGTATGACTAGACTATTGACATTTAAATAATGTGAATTTTGATTACATACATTTTATGCAATTCAGGGTTGTAAATAGTGGATCTGTTTTCTTTCTTAAGTATCTTTCAGGAATCTTTTTTTTAGGTTGTCATCAGTAAATAAACTGAATTGTTTTACTGCTTTTTCTATAGATTATTGTTGGATGATTTTGTAAGAGATGCATTTAACCTGGTCACACTACAGTAAGTGAATGGAAATGGCTTATAATATACGGCCATTTATGAATGAATGAGGTAATATTTAATTTATTTAAAACTCCTAATAAAAAAAGTGGAAAATTATCTAAATTGACTTGAATCACGTTTTCGACATTCGATTGAGCTTGACGCGAATGGTCTGGTCGCGCATGCGCATCGTGTCGACGTGGTGGTCAGAGGAGCAGTGAGTTGGGGCCGTCGGCGTCTGCAGCAGCTGTGGTCCGCCGGGATGGAGAGACTATCTCCGGCTTTCTGGACACTGGAGAGGCACTGCAGCTATGCGGGATGGTGGAGCTGAAGTGTTGTTGTGAAACATACAACTTGGTTTTACACCGAACAACGTCGCCTCTTTTGCGGATCCTATGGGAGTTGACTCGTATATAAAAAACACAAAGTCAGGCCAGCAAACACTGACACACACAACGACACAGCTAACTGGTGAGTGAGCAAAGTGTTTTCCGCCCATTGTTTAAATTCATAATCACCAGATGCTCATGTCTGATTTGTTTAAATACACCGACTGCATTCAATTCAGGGAAGAAAATGGCATTTAGCTCATTCATTCAGCGACGAGCTAATTGGAGCTAAGTACGGCTAATATATTTTTAGATCACTACATACAGCAATTCGTTGCTAATTGTAATGTGCAATAGAAACTATAATGAGTGTTGATGTAGTTGTTACGGTGGTTTTAGACCGGTAACTTCTGAAAGTTGAGGTTAACGATTACAGCTGAGTGGTGTGCATGTCCCAGGGATGTGATGCTGGATAAATGAACATGTGCACTTTGAGCTGTCACACCGTGAAACGTGGTGCTCAAATGTCCACTCTTTTAACGCCTTCATGCCTATTGCGAAATCTCTGCTATAAATATAGACAAATATTTTATTTATTTTTTATCTTACGTTTTTTGGGGGTATGACCGAGTCGCTGGGAAACCCGTGGGTTCTTCTAACACACTGTTCTCATCTTCCTCGACGGTTGTCAATAGCAACCCGCCGTGGTTCTAGTGGCGTTTTTTTAAATCACAATGTAATCAATGGGATTTGACGCTTTTCATGAATCAGTTTCGCTTTATAGTCACTATATTAAAGATGAAGTGTGGCCGATTTATTTTAGTACATTAAATAAGGAGCAAGGAATGAATTAAAATCCTATGTGGTGTCTGTGGTAGAAGTGCAGTCCAGTAACACACTAGTATTGATGCCTCTGTGCCCATCATAGGCTCATCGGAGAAATGGAGTCGGACGGCTGCACCGCCACCCCGCCAGGGTGTCCTGCCCCGGGTAGACTGTGTACCGGCGCCGGGTCCCCTGCAGGGTCCCCTGAGTGTGTCAGCCAGGACCCGCTGGGGTCTTTCAACCTGATGGAGGAGCCCCCTCCTCTGGACTGGAGGTCTGACACCTCCAGCGAAGCCGGCTCCATGGAGGACATGGACGAGGCCGAAGCCTTCCCGTCGTCTGCGGGGGAGGAGCGGGGGGTTAAAGCAGAGGTGGAGGACGGCCGGCCGGTTCTTCGATTGGTGCCGCCTTTGGATGCGGGCGACGCAGCTGCTCCTCCGTCGATGGGTGTGCGGCGGGAGGGCGAGAAGGTGGATGAACTGGGTGTGGATGAGGACGAAGCGGAGGTTTTTGGTAGACTGACTACAGAAGAGGAGGTAGTTGAGGACGATGTCCTTCAGGGAGTAGTTGATGAGGAAGAGAAGGTAAATCAAGAGGAAGAGGATGAGGTCGGCCAGGCCCCCGACAGGACACCGGGAGACGAAGACCACACCCGCGTCCACGCCCTCCTCAACCGGCTCCAGCGAATGGGGGAGGAGCCTGGCCCCGACCGCAACGCCTCCACCTCTGACCTTGAACCCTACGCCCATACGCGCCACCACCCCTTTGACACGGGGCCTCAGGAGCCCTCGGGAACCTGCCTACTGACGGATGTCGACGCCGAGACCACGGGGCTCCTGTTCTCCGAGAGCCACCAGAGGGACCTGCTGGGCCTGCTGGAGTGTACCGAGATCGCAGCCACGCCTGCCCACTCCCACTACCACCAACACAGCCCGTCCCCCAGACGGGAGGACGTAGACGCGGTGGTGTCGGTGTCCTACAGCCAGGACGAGGCCCAGGAGTTCTGGCGCCACTACAGGAACAATTGGCAGCTTCCACCCAGAGAGGGCTCCTACACCGCCCCGCTGCCCGACGACCAGCTCTCTGAGCCGGTGTGGATGAAGAGGGAGCCGGAGGAGGAGGAGGAGGAGGAGCAAGCTTCTGGAGCTGATGAGGAGGTGAGAAGGGTTGATGATGTGGTCGTGTTGTTGGTTGCTGTCTGCTGGTCACAGTTACTGTACAGCCATTCATTGATGCCATCTGTGTTATGGTTTAGCCCTTGAACATTTTCAAGGTTTTATTGTTTTGAATTTGTTATCTTTTCAAAATATTGGTGATCACTTCTTTGCATGTTGTTTTTCTGTTAATTCCCCTATGATTTTACTGTTTTAAATGCATCCACAAAGTAACTGACAATTATTTGTAAAAGCTTGCTTTTACTCACCATTAGGTCAGTAGTTTGTGCATTAATTCCGTGTTAATCTGAAATTTGTTTTGTATTTTTGTTATTACCTATTTATTAATTATTTCATATTCTCCATTAAGTTCTATTCCTCTGTCCCACTTATTATATATGTGTTGCTGTTTCTTTTTTGTTGATTTAAAGAGTGAGGATTACCGCCCTGCTTATAAAGATGGTAAGAAAAGATCAGAAATACTGAAATTGTTTTACAAATAATTGTTTTCATTTGTAAAATTTGGCAAATCCAGTAGAAGGTGACGTCATTCTGTGTGTGTGTGTGTGTGTGTGTGTTTGCGCTTGTTTGTCTGTTGTTTTTTTTTAAGTACCAGGCCCATGTGACCCAGAGGATCTGATCGACGGGATCATATTCGGGGCCAAGTACCTGGGCTCAACCCAGATCCGCTCGGACAAGAACCTGTCCACCAACGCCCGCATGATCCAGGCACAGGAGGCTGTGGACCGCATCAAGGTCAGCAGAACCACAGTAACACACACACATGCTGGATGTCTTGATGGGAACACCAGCTGTTCAGCTGAGGAGTCTGGTCATGTTATAAGAGTAACAGAGGCTGTAACACTTTGTGTTTTAGCCTCTAAGGTAGGGTGGCCAGATGTCCCTGTTTTTGGTGGCCTGTCCCTGGAAATGTCCCTGTTTTAAAAAAAATAAGATTTTTAAAATATATAAATAGAAATGGCAAAGGTTCTAGCTTTCTCATGAATATTAATTTCTAGGCTGTGACGTGACCTCGCTACATGGGGGTCTATCGACTTTATACCATAAGCAGGCATGGCCGATCAAAAACAAAAGGCTACATCAATACAATATAGAATGATACCCTATTGTTTTTGGCTGGTTTACCAAAGCTTAAAAGGGCCTATGCCTCAACGATTGGGCCCAATCTTTTACTACAGTACTACATTTAGTATGATAATGGGCAAAATGTAAATATGTCCCTTTTTTTATTTCAGATATTTTGTTGACATATGGACCGCCAAATGTCCCCGTTTTTCATTTCAGAAATCTGGTCACCTTATTCTAAGGGGCAGGTAGTCTTGTAGTGGTTGGGGTGTTTGACTCCCAGGTGAAAGGTTCTGGGTTTGAAACCCAATGTCTGGAGTCTACCTGTAGACATCCTTGAGCAAGATGCCCTAACCCCTACCTGCTCCTTAACGACATGTATCTGAAACTTCTTTCCGCAGCCCACCAGAGACATTATAAAAACAATTTGGGAAGTTTTTCTTTCTTCGCTTATTATCATTTAGAATTAATGCAGTAACACAGCAACACAGCTGTAGTATACTATTCGGGGTGTATTATAAAGTCTATGGTGTGGTCAGAGTTCCTGTGAGAAAGAATGAGAGCTGTAGTCGTGTCTTCATATAGGCCCCGGAAGGAGAGTCTCAGCCAATGGTAGAGGTGGATCTCTTCATCTCCACCCAGAGGATCAAAGTGCTCAACGCTGACACCCAGGTATGTCCCACCGCTCACCTGATGGGCCGCAGAGGTATGGAAGCAAATCTGTCTCACCAGATTTTGAAATTTAAAAGCCATTGAATTTCTAGCACTGAATTTTTTTTGCATTGAAATTATGTATCTGAAGTTATTGCCTCTGAATTCAACTCTTCAAATGTTCAATAACTCATTTTCACTTTTATTTTTCAATGTTCACAAATTCTGAATCAAAAATTGAAGTTTTAAAAAATTCAAATAATATATATTCAAGTTGCTCAAATTCGATAGGATAAAT